TAAGAGATATGTGTTCATCTAGGGTTTCTGTTGTTGTTTCAGCAAGCTGGGGCTACCGTTGGGAGCTATTGCGCCTGGCCTCAGACTTTGTTTTCATTGAGTGAATAACATGTAAAACATTGCACAAGGAAATAATTTTTCTAAGTGGAGAATCCAGATCAGTGTCTAGTGCCCTGAGTGCCTATCAGCCTGGTAAATACCTCAGGGCTTTTCGAACTGAAAGTAGGAATAGAACGTGGTCTGTTTCAAGTTGATTATTTGAATATTGCACTGTTAGTCAAGCAGTGTTATCTTTCATGTGAAAATGGGCTATGGGCTCTCGAGAGGGCTCCTGGTGTTCTTCCTGTCGCAGTCTCCCTTGCTGGCCCCTCTTCTTCCCTTGCCTGTTCACATCGCTATACCCGGTGCCTGCTTCTCAGTCCTTCTCCCTTCCCAGTCTGTACTCTCCTGGTGACCTCAACTGTCTCGTGGCTTTAGATATGACCCATATGACAGCAACTCACAGATAGGGATCTCCAAGCCAGACCTCTCCCCTGAATTCCAGAAACAGCTTGCTCAAAATCTCCACCTGGAAATGTCTAAAAACGTCTGAAACTGAACACCTGATCTTCCCAACTTAAAAATCCACATGTTGGCCGGGTGCGGTGGCTCTCGCCTATAATCCCAGCACTTTGGGATTATAGGCGGGCGGATCATGCGGTCAAGAGATCAAGACCATTCTGGTCAACGTGGTGAAACCCTGTTTCTACTGAAATTACAAAAATTGGCTGGGCTTGGTGGCGCACACCTGTAGTCCCAGTTACTCAAGAGACTGAGGCAGCAGAACTACTTGAACCCAAGAGGCAGAGGTTGCAGTCCAGCCTAGCGAGAGAGCAAGATTTCATCTCAAAAATAAAAGGTAAATAAATAAATACATAAATAAATAGAATCCACATGTCTAGGCGAAGTGAAGTGGCTCATACCTATAATCCCAGCACTTCAGCAGGCCGAGGTGAGAGGAATATTTGAAAGCCAGGAGTTGGAGACCAGCCTAAGCAACATAGCAAGACCCTGCCTCTAAAAAGAATTTTTAAAAATTAGCCAGCCATGGTGGTGCACACCTGTAGTCCCAGCTACTCGAGAGGTTGAGGAGGGAGGATGCTTGAGCCCAAGACATTGGGGCTGCAGTGAGCCATAATTACACTACTGCACTGCAGCCTGGGCAACACAGCAAGACCCTAAATCAAAAAAATAAAAGTCTGCATTTCCACGGCCTAGATTTTCTTCCACTCACCTGAGGGTAGCTGCATACTTCCTGGGTTAGGTAAAAAAAACCCTGGCATCAGCCAGGTGAGGGTGGATCACTTGAAGTCAAGAGTTCAAGACCAGCCTGGCCAACATGGGGAAACTCTGTCTCTACTAAAAATACAAAAGCATTAGCCAGGCCTGGTGGTGGGCGCCTGTAATCCCAGCTACTTGGGAGGCTGAGGGAGGAGAATCACTTGCACCCAGGAGGCAGAGGCTGCAATGAGTCAAGATTGTGCCACCGCACTCCAGCCCCGGTAACAGAACAAGACTCCAACTCAAAAACAAACAGGCTGGGCATTGGGGCTCATGCTGTAATCCCAGCACTTTGGGAGGCCAAAGTGGGCAGATCACCTGAGGTCGGGAGTTCAAGACCAGCCCGACCAACATGGAGAAACCTTGTCTCTGCTAAAAATACAAAATTAGCCAGGCATAGTGGCACATGCCTGTAGTCCCAGCTACTCAGGAGGGCTGAGGCAGGAGAATCGCTTGAACCTGGGAGGTGGAGGTTATGCCATTGCACTCCAGCCTGGACAACAAGAGTGAAACTCCATCTCAAAACAGACAAACAAACAAACAACAACAACAAAAAACCCTGGCATCATCATCTCTGGCTCCCTTTTTTCTCTCACACTCCCCAGTCCAAGCTATCAGGAAATCCTGGCCACTCTACAGATTCTGACACTTGTTACTACCTCCACTGCTGCCACTGTGGTCCATGTCACATGGCCCATGTGGTCCATTAATCTTTTGCCTGGTTATTATGAGTCTACTAAATCGTTTCCCTTATTCTACCTGTATCCCCTATTCCCTGATTTCTACAAAGCAGCCAGATGACAGTACTCCTCTGTTCAAAATTCCAGTGCATCTCCATTTCATTCTGAGTAAATCCAAAAACCTTACAGTGAATGTCCTACAAGACCCTGTATAATCTGGTTCCCACATCTTTGTGACATGTTTTAACTCACTTCCTCCTTCTCTCTGCTGTAACCATGCAGAGGCCTCCTTCCTGTTTCTTGTACATGCCAGGCATACCCTCACCCGAGAAGCATTGCGCTGACCCTTCCATGTAGATATCACCGCAGTGTTCTTCCCCAGCTCCATGTTGCTGACTCCCTCTCCTCCTTCCAGTGCCTGCTCAGTGAGGCCTGCCTCATCCCCTAGCTCACTTAGCCTGCTTTGCTTTCCACTTTTCGTATATTACTGGTAACTTTCTACCATTTTATATAATTTTTTCATTTATTTATTTTTGAAAATTGACAAAATATCCATTTCTATATGATTTGTATATAAAATTGTACATATTTATGGTGTACAACATGATGCTTTGAAATATGTAACACTGCAGAATGCCCAAATCAGGTTAATTAACATATGCATTACTGCACAAACTTATTTTTTTTTTGAGGTAAGAACATTAAAATCTACTCTTCTAACAATTTAGCAGTTTCCCTTCTTCCCTCCTTCCCTCCCCTCCCCTTCCTTCCTTTTCTTCTTTTGAAACAGGGTCTCAACTCTGTGACCCAGGGTGGAGTGCAGTGGCATGATCTTGGCTCACCTCTACCTCCTGGGCTCAAGTGATTCTCCCACCTCAGCCTCCCAAGTAACTGGGACCACAGGAATGCACTGCCACACCTGGCTACTTTTTGTGTTTTTTGTAGAGATGGAATTTCGCCATGTTGCCCATGCTGGTCTTGAACTAATGGGTTCAAGCAATCCTCCCGCTGAGGCCTCCCAAAGTGC